TGACCCCTGAACCCCCATACCCTCTGCCCTGACCCCTGAACCCTCCCCCACAGCCTTCTGCCCTGCACCCCCACAGTCCCCATCCCTCTGCCCTGAACCCCCCCAGGTCTGGAGTCCCGGCTGCCGGCCCCTTGCCAGCCAGCGTCCCGGCCGCAGGCCCAGCTCAGCCCGCTGCCAGCCTAGGTGAACAGAACCCCAGGCTGACAGCAGGCTGGCGGCGTAAGATCAGCATTTTAATGTAATTTTAAATGAAGCTTCTTAAACATTTTGAAAACCTTGTTTACTTTGCATACAACAATAGTTTAGTTATATAATATAGACTTATAGAGAGAGACTTTCTAAAAAACATTAAAATGTATTACCGGCAGGCGTAACCTTAAATTAGAATGAATAAATGAAAACTCGGCACACCGCTTCTGAAAGGTTGCCTACCCCTGGGATAGAACATCCCCAAGTTGCATCTGAATTCCAGCATACTCGGCTGCTGCAGCAGCTACAATCTGTCACCAGTCTAGTAAATCATCCATTATTTATTTCCGAATTTGCACCTCACACTACCTTCCCCTCTCCCCACAAAAAGGAAAAGGAAAAGGAAGAGGTGGAATTTGTGATCAAGGCAAGAGACAGGCTTGAGGAAAGAAAAGCAGAGAAGCCTCTCTGAAATCCCTGGTCTGCATCTTACTTGTGTGTGGCTGTAATTGGGGAAGGAGAGGGAATGAAGGTGAAATGAGAAGCAGGAAAGTGTTACTACATTTAATACAAAATCATTTTATTTTTCAAGATAATGTTTTCAACGGGTGGTTTCTGATAACGTGCAAGATTAATTTGACTGTGGACCAAAGAGCAAACAAACTTTAGCCTATGATGCACTTGCAAATTGTTCACTTTGACTATTCATTGTTTGTGTTTGTGATTGGTTATTAGGTCATGTAGCATTGTTTAATGCTTCCTGGTTGGATGACTGAAAATGTTGAAACTGAAGAATAACAAGTAACACAGGAATGGTGAATAATCAATCATGAACAGTGATTGTCATTGTTTTCAGGCAAATATGGGTTTTGTATGACAGCCATTCCACAAACAATTGTGTGACCAAAATCTTATTCACAGAAATGTTTGTATAAGAGATGCATGGACAAACAAAACAGCTGTTCAAAATTCAAATGAATGCTCCCAAATACTGGCTTTACAATATTTGATCAATTTCTTTCTTTCTTTGCCATCATTTTTGAGAAAGAAAGAAAGAAAGAAAGTGCTAAACACTGTACTTTAGCTGTGAAGACTAACGGAGCAACAACAGGCCAACACAGAGGCAGTTGATTAAGCTTACAGTTTTTCTTTTTGGCGCTTTTAATTAAAATCAGTGGTTGCTTCAGCAGAAAGAGTCAGTCAAACTGGAGGAGGAACGGAGTGCTGACAGATGAAGTTTGACAAATACTTGTAATCTCTTCTTTAAGACCTGTTGTTGTTGACACAGTCCATCTGCAGGCTGCAGTTATAATTTGTCTAACCAACTCTGTATTCTGGGTAGAATCTTGCACTTTATCCAGACTGAGCATGAAGAGGGGACTGTGGTAATTGCTCTGCAGTGTGTGAAAAAAGAGTGCAGCTAGAGATGCCATCTCTTGGAAGAGAGATATGACTGAGACTATGGGCATGGCTACACTTGCAGATGTAGAGTGCTGTACGTTAAACCCATCTTTGGAGAGTGCAGTAGGGAAAGCGCTGCAGTCTGTCCACACTGACAGCTGCTTGCGCACTGGCGTGGCCACATTTGCGGCACTTGCAGCAGCATTGGGAGTGGTGCATTATGGGCAGCTATCCCAGCATGCAAGTGACTGCAATGTGCTTTTCAAATGGGGTGGGGTGGGGTGGAGTGGAGTGTGAGAGGGAGTGTGTTGTGTGTATGTGGGGGGGAGATAGAGTGGGTTTTTGGGGGACTGAGAGCATGTCAGCATGCTGTCTTGTAAGTTCAGACAGCAGCAGACCTCCCCTTCCCCCCCTCCCGTCTCTCTCTCTCTCTCTCACACAGCATTCCCAGCTGTCAGAAACAGAGCTTTCAAAGGGCATATCTGCATTCCTACAGTGATTCAAAACAATGACAAGAATGGCCACCTGATTTAAGGGGATTATGGAACGTTTCCAGAGGCTGATCAGAGCGCAGTAACGCAACCCCTCGTTCACACTGATGCCCGGGCGTTGTAGCCA